TGTCAAAACAGGATCACATGCGTCTTAAGAGGTGCGCCACTGAGACTGCTAAGGGTACTGCAACATTTTACAGATATAAACCACACAATTTCTTTTCTAATTCACTCAGTGCGATGTTTAGACCCAACTGCGTTAACCGCATCAGCTAAACTCTCCCACTCTATTTTTTTTCTTTTGTTGTTAATTCCGGAGAACAAACTTGCAAATAACATCGCTTTTCTCCGGTCTACCTCCGAAAGCAGCACCTCCATTTCACATTCTGTTCAAAATTTCTCTTTTTGCTTGATTTTGCCATTGCTTTTTCATTGGGGTTTTCCATTAGCATAGTCATTAGCATATTCATACTGGGGAGGAGGCAGGGAGGGGTTTTGTGCTCGTGCATGTTGCGCTCAGTTTCACGTTCATTCGGATGTACAAAAGAATATGCGTGAGATTCGGCGTACGCAGTGTTTCATACATCTGAATTTTTTTCTGCGTACGCACATTAACAGCTTTGTGTGTACGCAATGTTTTAGTAAGATTTCCACGCAAGTCTTCGTACATGAGGTCCCTGGACTTCTTCTATTGGCTAATGACTTCTGAAAAAGCTCTCTGATTGACAAGGCAACCAATACAACATTTGTGTTCCTTATTATTTTATTTTATTTTATATTATTCCATAATATTTAAGAATTAGCTCACCCAAAAAATGAACATTATGTCATTGATTACTCATCCCCATGCTATTCCAACCCCACTGAAGCCTTCATACATCTTCAGAGCAAAATTTAGCAAATTTTAGATAAAATGTGAGGGCTCCCTCATCCTCCATAGACAGCAACGGTTCTGAGAAGTTCAAAATCCAAAAAAGGAACAAAATATCACTGTCAACATATTAAAAATATGACTTTGTTGGTTCTACTGTGATAATATCAAGCTCCAAAAACTCTTTTGAGTGTCTAAAAGTGAATAATTAATAACTAATAATAATTAATAACAACTTTTTAAGTGAACTAATCCTTAAGATGTGGAAATGTAAACTCAATAACAGGCTGGTGGGAAATCAATAAATTTAATTTCATGTATGAATGTTGTGTTCAGTCATAAATGTCTATGCCATAGACTTCACAATACATGCTACATGCTTTTGTAAATTCACTTTGTTAGAGCATTAGGCACTGTGGTGTTCTTCATCCATTTGGGTGCTTCCCATTGCAGTGGCTTTGTTCAAGGTTGACTGTTAAAATATGTGACACATGTCCCCAGGACATCCTGTAGGAATTAAACCCCTAACAGACATCATTTAAATGGACATACTATAATCCAAATGTATTTCCTGAGGCTCATGCTGGTAGGTGGCTGTATACAGCATATGTTTTGCCTGGCACTTGATGCTGCAGCTTATATTCTCAGTCTGTAGTGTGAAAGCTGCAGGTCATTGAAGTTTGTTGCATCACTCCTGCTTTTTCAGATATATATTTTCCCACTCCTCGTCATGGTGAATCAAACACATGCTCATGCATATTATCACGCCCACTAATTCTGACTTTTAAAGAATCAGTGGTGGTGTATCATAGTGGAGTGCTGCTGCAAAATCACAATACAGTAAACCTGACTGTTAAAGTTTCTGTTGTTTTACTGTTGACTGAGGCAACATTTACAGTAATATGATTCAGATTTAAAAAGCATAAGTTTTGTAACACATACGCCTTGCGTCCACACTACCTCGAGTTTTTTCGAGCCCAGAAAATGGAGCATTTTGGAAACACAGAAGAGGTGTTTACGCTGCTGCTTCACATCAATGTGGATGGGGGAAAGTAGAGACATCTGAAAACGGAGGCATGGCTGCAAATATTTGCACATTTTTTCCTTGTAAGTTTAGACTTTGCAAGTTTGCTATAGAAAACAAACTCCAAAAGACACGTTGGGTAAATCTTCAAAGGGAACAGTGTACTTTATAATGTCACTCACATCACAATGGCTACGTTGTTTCACTATCTTAACAATAAAATGAAAACCTGATGTAAGGAACTGCCTATTTTCATTTTGATATTAACAACTTAACAGATACCAAAAATCTTAAAGCCACTTGTAGTTACATATTTATAAAAGCATTATCTTCATCTTCAATGTTTGCATATTAATAACAAACCAGAGCCTATAACATAACTGCCTCCTTTCATTTTCAAAACACGAAACAGACCCTGTCTCTTCTGCTGAATATCAGTTTTAATAATCCATAATGACCATTATAAAAGTATAATGTACAATACGTTTATACTATATAGGAAAGAAAGGCAAGCAATCAGTCAAATGTGTACGCGGTTACACAAATTAATATAGTAACTTATCTTTGTGCTCAGCCAAAACACGTTACCTGAGAATAAATAATAGATTCAAAAGACCAAAGAGTCATTAGATAGAGACAAGATAAATCGAATATCACGCTTAACAACTATAGTGAGATGTAACCAAGCAGTACATCCTTGATGAACTGTCTGCCATGCACTGCTCTCATCTGGGGAGGTGTGCTTAAAAAACCCGCTAACTGCCTGGAGCTCAGACCTTCACATACACTGCAGTGCATGCCAGAGTGTGCGTATGGTCAGGAGATATAGTGTGGATAGAGATATTTTCAGAAAAGCTAGGTGAAATTCCAGTGTGGACAGGGATTGTTTTCGATCCAAAATGCCATTTTAAATCTAAAACTTATTTTTGTAAACGGGCCTAAATTGCTTGCTGAATCTTCCAAAATCCACAGTACCACTAAAAACTTGTTAGCATGCTGATGAACTGACTACATGCAAATAGCAATAAACAATGTGTTTTTTTTAAATCTGTGACTTTCCCTGCTTTCCATAATTCCTCAAATTAACTAGGTTCAAGAACAATGCAAACAGCATGAAAATTAGCAATGCTGCCAGCAGGCACAATTCATTTATATTGTCTGAAGTTTAGGGTAATTCTTAATATGAAACATCCCAAAGGTGAACTGAGAATTAGTGTGCAGCTGTAATCCATAAAGACAGGGTGACATCTACTGTGTCTGGGAGTAGCCAGAGAAACCGTTTTCATTCTTGCATAAGCTTCAAAGTCACTGGGGTCTTGTATGTGCACTAGACTAACATTCCTTCAACATGGGAACCATGTGGTCCTAACAAAGTCATCAGGAATGATTTTCAAAACAGGAATCACATTTCAGAGGTTTAGTCTCTAGAGATGATGCCTAAAAATCTGTTTACAATCAATATAAGGCTTTACCAAATTTTCAAGGCTATCTAGTTTCTTAAATGCTTTTGGAAATGTAAATAAGCTCATGTAAGCAAAAGTCAAAATGTCGTGGACATTTTAGGAGATTTAGAATCACCGGCCATTGTCACCGAATGCATTTTTAAGCTTTAAAAAAGTGAATTTCTGTAGGTCTCTGCAGAGCACGTCAGAATGTCTGAGAAAGTGTTGTTGACAGTTCTCGCACATACACAATGAGCAGTATGAAATGTGTGGGGCAAGAGAAGATTTTCCACTGGTTAATCGAACGCAAATGTTTGGTAATCTTTGGTGGATACAAAAAAAAGTGTAAAAGGATGATAATATTGGTAAAAATAGAAACAATATTTACAAATTCTAAAAAAAAAATACTTGGGCAGCGATTAATATAGATGGGGGGCCAGCCAAAGTAAAGTCTATGTGTGGGAAGCAATGTATTATTTCAATTACGGCATAGCTTTCTGAAAACTGTATTTGTAGAAAATAAAAAAAATAGAGGTCAGCTGTATATATATATTTAGTTTTATATTTCCTCTTTTCTTACCACAATTGTTCTGGCTAAACATGGGATGATAACCAGTTTCAAGGTTTACTTCGGTTTGGAAAAGTCAAGGTTTTAAAACCGGCAAAGTTTTCTTTTATACCAATCCTAGTGGCGAGTTCAGACGGCATGATTTTCAAAGTAGTCACGTCACTGATGTTGCCAAATTTACAGTAATTTATCCTTCGTTTCTTGGGTCCAAACAGACTTAAAATGAGCGTTTTTTAACTTCTCCCCCAAACTCCCGCTGGCCTGCAGGTACCCATACTAGTGGATGCTATTTTCTCATTGGCTTGAGGTAATCGCAGATGTTGTTTTCAATCAGAACTCATTTCACTCATTGATTCAAATCGCAGACAGCTGCCAAATATCTCACGGATATCAGCAACACATCAGCGATTCTCTTAGATTGCGTCTTTGATAGTTCATACTGTGTGATTGTTACTCATGTGAACGAGCATATTTGATGATATGATATTTTTATCCAAAGTTTTTATATTGTCAGAATCTTGCTGCTCAAGCCAAGTTGTGGCCTAAGGGTTATTGAGTTGGACTACTAATGTGAAGGTTATACTGTAGGTTTGAGTCTTAGGTCCGGCAGGGAGTATAGATGGGGGTAATGTACTCTCTTCCACCTTCAATACCATGAATGAAGTGAGACCCCTCAGTAAACTCCCTGACCCCTTAACTGCTCCCTAGCAATTGCCCTGGGTATGTGTTCACTGTGTGTGCATATGGATGGGTTTAATGTCGAGTACAAATTTGGAGTTTGAGTTACTATACTTGTGCACGTTATATTAACTTATTTGATATATGAATTTACATAATTAATAATGATATAAATAATAACTTACTTGCAAATTAAACTAGATATATTCATTTTAATAAAGAGAGCAAAAGTATGATTGAATAATTCTGCAAATTCTGTTCAGTGCATGTATTCTTTTATTATTTATGTATACAACCTTTTTTTAAAAAAAAAGTCTTTTTAAGGATTCTTAAGTTCTTTTAAGTCTTTTCATATATATTTTGCATACTGGAATTTACAAATAAACATTCTTGTTTACAGTTTTTTGTTAAGTACTATGGTTATTTTTGTTTGTTTGTTTGGAATCTTACTGCAAAAACAAAATAAGACTATGGATTGGTACATTGACACATTGTGTGCTTCATTACTTATGAAAAACAAAAGTCACTAATAGAGATGTCTTACCAGAGAATCTTCCACGTTGAAGTTAAACATATCCATGGCTTCTGTCTTTAGCTTGGAGACAAAGTCCTTGTACTCTGGGTTCTGAGGCTCTCTGTAGGTCAGGATCTTCACACTCTGTGGGTATTCAACACAAAGACAAAATTTAGGCTTAAAGTAAAAGATACACATAGGTTATGTTTTTGTTTTGGGACCCCCAAAAAATAAAAATGACGCCACCCCCTCAAATTAACAACTGTACTTAAATTTTTTTTTAATTGTATTATTCAATACATTTATATTATTATATATTATTCATTATCTGGATTAATTTTTGAAAGATGTTAGTTGAGTTGACATGGTTTCAGTGCTTAAATCTATTGATCAAATCTTCATGCGCAGTGTTCATTGTGGTCTGCTCTCACTGGATTCCATCAAGCCATATTTTGTGTACGAGTCGTCACTTTACACAGTTTTTATGCCATTTTATGCTTTTTTTTTCTGCCTATGCACAGCTAGATTCTTCTGTATTTACCCTTACAGCTGAGAGTCTAAATGCATCTAAAGATTTAAAGCTTTAAAGTTTTAAAGAGTTTTGTCATTCATCAGCCTGTTAACAGTTAACTGTACTGTTGTAACTAGCAATACTACAATGGAGGCTGTAGTGGTTCAGTGTGTTTTGTTTATTTTTATTTCTTTTTTTTGTGCACATCATAATTTACTCAGGTCGACAATCCTGACTTACACTGATAAAAAATAATTTCCTAAATGCAATCTAGAATTGGGTATCAATTCTAGTTCAAAGAGCCACAAGTTTTACTTTGCATAATTTTAGAAGCTTTGCTGACTTTAAAATGTTCATACCAGTGTGTTCTATTAATAATAATACTGAACATTACATTTAAATTAGTTACACAAATAAATATGTATATATTTAATAAATAATAATAAATATATAATATATAAATAAATAAATATTTTTTGAGATATTGAGCTCTATTAAATACAGAGCACTAATACATTTTAATATTTAACAATTAATTACCCCTAAAACATAACACAAACAGATAGATTATAATTTGTATAGGCTATAGTGGTTTTACTCAGGGTGTATACAATTTAGTTTTTTTTTAATCATCCAGTTATGAACCAATGTGAGTAAAAGGTCCACTGCAGAGCTCATTCAGCTGTCATTAGTGTAACAGGAGTGAAACTCTGAGAACTCGCTGATGTGATGACAGCTCCATTCATTGTTATTGCAGCACTTTTTGCTTTACAATTTTAATATGTTTGTTTGCCATGCTGCAAAGAGGACCGTCTGATATTTGTACAATGCAAAGTGTGAAGCCTGTCGCACTGTGGACGATGAGCAATTTTGTGCCGTGTCTTTAAAATGCTATTTGTTCCCTATGAGTGAAGCCTGCGCAGAGAGGCGCGCACTCCGCAGCACCCAGCTGATCGGTTAGGAACGCAAGCCATAAACAGGGTAGTGCTTTCAGCCACCGATAATGTTCTTATTGATCATGTATTTTAACTGAAATATAGTCAGTTAAATAGACCTGAGGATTCATTTAGTTGTTTAGCTTAAAAGAGGTACGCGTAAGTGAAAGGTAAACGCCATCAGGTGAAGCAGACAAGCGCCAAAAATCACAGGAAGTGCCCGAAGCGCTTATTCAATAAAAGTCCCCGTGCACAGAGGCGGGCCGCTGCGCTTCTTTTCCTGTGTCACAAAAGTGTCACCTGCATTTAAATGACATAAGCATAAAGCTTAATTTTTGCAGTACTTTTGAGCTCAAATTATAATAAAAAATATATTTACCTTCAGAATGATGCGGGACACAAAATTTATCCATGTGGGCCCATTGATTACCCCTCATCTAAAATGTCTTTGCGGCCCCCCTAGCGCCATCTGGCGGCCTCCCAGGGGGCCGCGGCCCCCAGTTTGAAAACCCCTGCCCTAATCAACATGAGAATAGAGTCCCAATTGATTTTTTAAATATTTTATTGATAATTTATGTATTGAAAATAACTAACAATGGGTTGTAGAGTAAAAAGTAAACATCCGGTAGTATGATTAGCTAATGATTTTGTAATGTAATATGCATTTATATAGCACGTTTATTGTGCCATGCAGCCAAAATGGTTTACAATCCTGTGACTCCTTTTGAATATTTCAAATTTAATACATTTAAATATTTTAATTTAAAAGTTCCTTAATGACTGGATGCTGTGGTTCACTTTTGAGAAGCATAAACACTCTGTCCAATCTTTATTAGAATGCAGAGAGAACAAGGAGTGTTCCACCTTCTTATCAAAGCGCTGAAGGACTACCCTAAGAGATTCAAAGTTGATTTCAGGATGTCAGTGGCTGGGTTTGACACAAGAGTCAAGCTGTTCTGCAATCATCTGTTACAATCTGTCTTTATAATCTGTATCTGTGTATTTCGCATATTATTATTAAGTTCTCTGAGCTGCGTGTCTGACGGCATTCTGGATTTTGACTTTTGCTTGTACGGTGGCTATGAACTGTCAAAACACATCTTGAAATATATGATATGGATGCAAAAATGTGACTTGATCTCAATGGTTTAGCCACACTAATAGTTAACTAATTTACTACATTCAGAAAAAAAAAACACATTCAAAACCTGTTGATTTTAGCTGAATAGCTTCAATATAAGATTATTTTGGTGGTGTATCATTGAGTATAGATGGATTGAATTGTATTTTTTATTGTAAAACTTACAGGATGTTTTTTTAAAGCACAATGAACTCTTACATGTTTTAAAGACCAAGGGAGTTTTCATTTCTCAACTTCAGACCCTTTTAGAAATCATTTGTTTTATGCACAGACATGTTCAACTCAACAATTCAACTTTGGTTTTGGTTGATGTTGTTCAAAATTATGAAATACCACCACTTTGTTTTTGTTTGAAGTATTCCAAGGCCTTCAGGCAAAAAATAAAAAAATAAAATAAAAATTGTTGACAGAAAATCGAATACAGAAGTTGCACATTTTTCAGCAAAGTATTGATCATGTTAATAATTTAAAAGAATCAAATGCACATCAACATGAAATGGTATTTTAGACTTTACAAGGTTAGATCTAAAGAATTAGTGCGTTTATTAGGATATACATGTATGTATCTATGTGAATCGATATCAAATGAAAGCTCAAAAGCTCAAGCTCAAAAAAGCCACCACAACGAATCACTTTGTGTCCCTTCTCGGAGGACTTTTAGATTTGTGTATTACAAATTATGATTTGTGTGAAGTGGATGGGGATAATAGAAGCTGACGTTGATAATAACAGTGTGTGTCTGCTGGCTTTTCAATAGCACAGAAAGACCAAACAGCTAGAAATCGTTACAGTGACATAAATTTAATTATTTTACAGCAAGAGCTTTTGAAAAGATTGTCTTGTTTATCAATGTTTATTTTGAGCAAACCTGAAACTTAAACTTACATACGACGAGCTTTATTACACTGTACACACAGGCAATAGCTTAAATAATGTTGCTTGTTGTGGGAGGCATTAATACATCTGAAGTACCACTTGTATTTTAAAGAACTTAGTATTTTTATTTATTGTCTTTAGTATGGGTTTAATGGTACATGGAGGCTATGGTTTGGTACTGTATGCGCCTTGGTTTTGGGGTCACAGTTCAATAGGTATAACAGGAATAACACTGTAACCAATAGCCAGTGCTTGCTTTACTGTTTATTTTGAGCTGGAGCTAAAGAGTGCTACTGTACTTGTGATGCAAAAGTTCAAAACAAACTAAGTATTGAAAAATAAAATTTTAGAATTAGACTGCGTAATAAACTATATAACTTTCAAAGGTTGAGCCCAACTCTTTCCTAACAACATTAAAACACCAATTGTGCATAGATTCAGCAAAATCTGAAATCTCTTTTAATGAAGATACTAGCACTAACTGGAAGTTCATTCATAACAGCGTGTGAGGTACAATAACGGCTCAATCTTGTGTGTGTGTAGAGAAAGGATTCAGACATGCGTAAGCACGAGATGAGACAGAACCTTATATTTACATTGCTTTTATATGTAATTGTGGTTTATGAATGAATGTGCATGATCATTATACTCTTGTGTCTTCTGCACCTCGCACATGAGCACTACAATTTTCAATGGCGTATTAAGATAAAACAGATGAAACTTTTACATGCAGTGGCACTCAATGTCAGTTATACAACAGTGGACCAATCAGCAGGAGTTGTGCTTCTGTGTACCAAGTTGACATGACAATGACAATATTGTGGAACAACTGACCACCGCCAAGAGCTTAGAAAGACCAAGAGGCGATACTCTAGTTTTATTTGGGTTTAGTTTTATTACCCACTAGAGGGTGCGGTGGCCATTTTGGAATGAAAACTCCAATAGAACAACAGCATATTATAAGTCTGTTAAATAAACTATTAAAAGTGCTGATGATTGTGATAGTAAGTGTTGTATTGTCGTCTTTTAGGTTGTATGTCAGCTTTAAAAACAAAGCAGCTGCTTGCCATTGCGACAGTAATGATATCCAGCCAATCACTTTCACTCCAAAATGGCGGAATCCGAGGCTGTTGCTGGGCGCTGCTGTTGCAATGGAACGTTCTATTGAGTGTCGCCTCTTGCTCATTCTAAGCTCTTTGCCACCGCATCTCACGCTTTCAGATGCAAAGACGTGAATGGCTGCTAAGTTGATGCACTGCTGTCGTCTATTTGGATTAACTCCAGCGATTAGACTGGAACATCTGGACTGACTGTATTTGTCGTGGGAGTGCATGAACCAAACTAACCCAATTCCCAATTTCTCCCATTTTTCCATGGATTCTCTCGTATTTTACAATTCTATTCCGTTACCATCCCGTAAAGGTATTTTCCTGTATTTCTCCCATATTTTTAATCTTTCTATGATATTTTTAATCTTTCTATGATGGGTGGCAATAAACATTAAAGAGCCCATCCTCCATATACCTATAACCCATACCGCCGAACCACCATAGAACGCCACTTGCTATTAAATGTGAGTCTGTTCTGTGCTTTTATTTTATTTAGGCATGAAAACATTATGAAATAAATATAAAAATAGCAGGATTCCGGCGTGGGGGGATGGTGGGATGGGGAAGGGGGC